CAAGTTGAGCCAGGCCGCCCCAGGCAGTATCGAGGCGCTCAGCTCCGACACCTCCATGCATGGCTTCTCGGCTTCTCTTAGGAAGGCCTTCTGCCTGTGTCCTGGTACCTGGTCCTTTTTGAGCGAGCGCACGTGTGTGAGTGAGTGAGTGAGGGAGTGCGGGTGACTGTGCGTGAACATGTGTGAGTGCTAGTGTTAGTGTTAGTGTTAGTGCTAGTGCTAGTGCTAGTGCTAGTGCTAGTGCTAGTGCTAGTGCTAGTGTGCGTGTGAGTGTGAGTCTCTGTGGCTCTGTGCGCTTGTTGTTTTGGAGACAATCGGCTGTGCACACTGGGCATTCGCAAACGTCCGCTGAACACAAGTTATGCAGCCACGCACGAATGGTACAATATCTGGCATCTGCAAAACCTATTACACTCAAGGAAGAACGACGCAGACAAGAGGGATGCCGTCAATGAACGGGTCAGTGCACACCTGACACAATGGCACGGCGATCATACCGTCTGGAGCTCTGGAACCGAAGCGGTGCCAGCAAAGGCCCTCTGCACCGCAGACTGGGAAGATAATCTACCCGGCTAGCTACGTTGCTCCCGAAAGTGTTCTCCAATGGACATGGCACAGGCAAGTCGCTGCCGCTGGATCGGATAGCACGGCCACATGGGGCAGTGGCCCACCTCGAAATAGCTGCCGCGCTTGAGGAACAGGTCTGCAAGCCACAGCCAAGAGGCTGTCTGGACAGCCTGAAGCTTCAACATCGTTATGCCCAAAAGCGAGCGCCTAGATCCTAACCCACCAACATCGCATATCAGAGCCGCCGCGTACGAGATCAAGTCAGCTTAGCAGATTAGGAAGAAGGTCACTGAACGAGAACTCAGTGTCCAGCCAGCAATGTCGTCTGCAAGATTGGATGCTGCAGGTATGGTGCCAATACCTCTCCACTGTCGTGCTTCACAAACTTCAACCATTGTCGGCATGCCCACAGGAGCTCAGAAAGACTGGCATCAGTTCAATTTGGAACGGTTCGCTTCCTCGCGCACATCCCCATCCCCAGCAACCTTCAAAGGCCTTTCAAGCCCTCCAAAACCCATGAATGGTGTTACACGTGCAACCCCCAGGGTGATTTGTGGAAAGCTATCGTATAGGCACAGGCTATCTTCAGCCTCTGCAGTGCTACATCTCCGCACCAAGTCTTACTGCCAATCAGCGGGCTCGAATCCCGTCTACACGACCACGGCGCTCTGCTTGGAGTCTGAAACGCGAACATACGCGAACTGAACCTTGCACACCGTCCTGAACCAGCACGAAGATAGTTGGAAATGCCAGGAAGTACGCCGACCCGGCGATCTCGAATATTTGCAAAAAGTTTTGGAGCTTGATGCCGCCTGACACAGGCAGCCGTTGCACAGAGGCCTCTGTGACGAAGAGGAAACGCTTGGCCCTGGGCCTGCCGATCTCAGTCGCTGGATGCCTTCCAGGGAAGGCATTCTGAGGCCGAGTCTCGATGTGGCGGCACAGCTTCCGCTCCACTCCGCTCTCCAGCCAAGGAGCCACTGCGAAACCAGGCGAAGAGACTCAAACGAGCTGTAAGAAGGATCCAGCCAACGAGCCCCTCGTTCTCGTGGTACTTGAAATCCTCCGCATTTCCAGACACGATAGGCTCGCAGCACTCACGCAGAAGCATGGCAGCACTCCTCGGCCTGTAGCTTACCCATCGCCACCAAGGCCACGTGTAGGAGAGTGATCACAGCGACCACGGGCACTAGGAGTTCAACCTCTAGATCTACTCTAATGGGACGAAGTACAGGTTCACCAGTCTTGCAGCCCCTCCTCGCTCAACTTTGAGCGAATCAACGTGTAGCCCTGAGCTATTGCCTCAGAAAAGACAAGAAGCACTAACAGCCTTCTCGCATGCTATCAGCTCAACCAGAGATCCGTTTTAGGTCTGCGGTGCGGACTGAGCCCCGGGCAATCAACAGAGAGGCGCTCGCAACCTCTGGCAGAGCACGCCCCAAAATCCGCCACACCGCTTTCCCGGCTGCCAGTGCCAGGAGCCGCGCTTGGCTCAACATGAAGAGCACCTCGGCGAGTCCATCCGCCATCGGCAGCCCTTGGCCTCACAAAAAACAGCAAAGGGATGACAGCACCAAGCAGACCGAGCACAGACGTGCCAAGGAGCCATTCTTCTTGTACATCAAGAGATGTACTAAATGAAGCGCCTCAAGGTCTTGGCAGCATCTCGGGAGCCGGGTGCGCAACACTTCCGCCTGCCTGCGATGCCCAATGCAGGCCCACCGCAAACAGCAAGCCACGAACTACAGGATGAAGCCGTCCTAGCAGATGTCGGGATGCTCTTAGTGCTCTTAGTGACACCGGCGGGGGCGGGCCAAGGCGGCGGCCTAGGCTTTGACGAAGGGCTCTGCTTCTGGCCACGAACCAGCAGGCCATCGCAGAGAGCATCAGCAGGACGAACACCGTGGCAGTCGGCATGTACCTTCAAGAGTTTGAATGCACTTATTGGCATCAGGCATGCTTCCAGTTCCCCGGCCTCATTTCCAAACTCAGCTCTGAGTCATCGAACTGCCTCGGTCACTTCGCCCTGCACGCAGCTGGCACTGCACGAGCCAGGAGCCTCCAGCGAATCTCGTAGTCCACTGTATAGCCTTGGGACGGAAGGACGTCGGGCAAATACGGGCTAGACTTGGCCTAGACCTCTTAGACTCTTGAAGGTGCTTAAACTGTCTACGCCGGGAAGCTAAAGCTCCGGTCTCCGGGCATGCCCCGTGCAAGCTGATCTGGACAATCAGAAAGGGCCTCGGCAGTAGCTCAGCTCTTGTGAACTTCAGCTCAAGCGCTGCCGAGCCACGAAGTACCAAATGTGAGGACGAATCGTCTGATACCTCGATAGTATGCATCCAAAGCGGTGCCATCATTGTCAGGGGGGGCTGAGGGCAAAGCAACATTCCGACTTCCCACGGGCCCCACTCACCGTGCCTAAGCTCAGCTTGGAAGAATCCCACTTCTTGCACACATTGCCTGGAGACCTTGCCAACACACACACATGTACAAAGACGGCAGTTGCAGCAAGCGTCTGCCCGGGGACAAGCATTCCGTGGGTCTTCCTCGCGGGCACATCCTGGCATTCTCCGACATTTTACCGCCGCATGCTCTGCACCTGACCCAAACCCCCGAAGCCACCATGCCGGCTTCGACAAACTAAAACAAGAGGTGCCGAACAGGCCTCCGCCCGCTTGCAAGCAGAGAAGCTTCCCTGCTTTGGCCAATCCTCATCCAGGAAGATCTCCAAGTCTGGTCTAGGCAAAACCTCAGATCTGCCGATGTATTCTTCAAGTCCCCGGACTTGCAGAGCTAGTCTGCGAGAAGCAGGCCTGATCCTCATGCAAGATGTTGTGAAGCCTCTGCCGAAGCGGATGATGATGCTGTCAGTGTGATTCGAGGCCACTGGGGAAGAGCCTGCCTCAGCCGAATTTCATAGCGCCCCGTGCCGATCGCCTCAGAACTCGCTCTCCGTCACGAGTTGACGCACAACGAGGCCCGAGGCCCCGGCATAACCGAACTTGCCTGGGCGGCTTATGGACACTTGGAATCCGGGAAGCTCTGGGCATTCAGGATCCAGGGCTCAGGGATGTGCAGGCCAAGATGCCGAGAAATCTCCACTGCTCTTGCTCTTCTGCTGCCGCTCCTCCGAACGTCAGCGTCCCTGATTGTACCTTGCCTCAGTACCAGCGGGTACCGACATGGTCAAGCCCTCGGTCTCCGAGATGATGCCAATAACGTGCGAAATCCAAAGTTGTAACGCTGGGACACACTCGACGCACATGAAGCGCATCACCAGCATTCCAACTAGTAAGGACCGCTGGGTGCCTGGGCCAAGTCATGCAGGAGTGGGCAACATGAGGTGCGGCATGTGCACATCGAGGGTTGACGCTGCAATGTCCGGGCCACTCGGCTTCATGTTCGCAATGTAACATTCACGATGCCCAGCCCGCCGACTTCCACAACCGAGTGCGGGGCGAGCAGACATGATGAGCCCGTGCATGGTAGCAGCCATGCAAGCAAACGGCTAGGCTGCTGAGGATCTGATCAAAGCCAAAATGGCTGCGAGCATTGACAGCTACCCTTGCCAGCGGCTTGCACATGTTGGCATCTTCTTCAGCGACTCATCACCGGTCACAAGTTGCCTGCCTCGCGTTGCGTCCTTCGCTCCACGAGGCACCGGCCTGCAACGAGCAGGCAAGTAGCAATTCCGAGCCACATGAGACACTACCTTCAGGTCGTTCTGCTTCCGTTGTTCCAGGGTCTTCGTCTTCGTGTGTGCCTGTCGCCTTCAACTCATCAATTGCCATGCACGTCCCGCTATAGACCTACGGGTGTTAAGCCTTGAGCTATGTAAACGCTACTCCAACCAAAAGCTGCGATTCGCTACGAGCGCGCACTTCAGCGTTAAGAGCTGGAGGAAGACTCGCAGGCAACGTCAATCGGTATAGCATGCAATGATGCTCACCACGGCGGCTGAAGAACAAGGGGCCAGAAAGCCAGTCAAGAGTTCGACGTGTGCTTGCTAAGGCTCCACTGGGCACCAGTCGTCTAAGACACTGCAGTTTGCGTGTCACGCTGTTACGAAAGGACGAGCGCCGACACCGAAAGAAAACGACACAAAGAAAAAACACAGACCAGCACAAAAACTGAGTTGTTGCAGGCAGCATGCACGAAGGAACCATGTTGTAGCAGCTCATGGTGGCCACGAACCCGCACAGCCCCAGACACATTTTCCCTCCTGGTCGGTACATCTCCAACAAGTATATGGGCGAGACACTTTGCGAGACACTGTTGCCCCGCTGCACTACAGCTCGCTGCAGGCCAACGGAATAGTCTCCATCAGCTCTGGTGCTGCAGAAGTCTCATAACAAAAGTAAGGCGGAGGGCAGAAAGGCAGGCGCAGTGCGGTGTAACATGACTGCTCTATCTGCGCCATTCTGCCCTTCCTATATCGGCACTTCAGGTCTGTACCCGCGGCTGCTTGTGAAGTGGTTGGTGTTGTTTCCTCGGGAGGCATGCCTGCAAGCCTCTCTTCACGCGCAGACAATGAATGGTCACAGCTGAGCTCGAGGCTGTACCATTCTGCTCCCAGCCATATGGTGCTCAAACCAAGGAGCTCGGTGCTCAAGTCTATCAGCGTCACGTAGTTTGACCAGTTCTTGCCTGGATCCACCATTGCCTGCGCCAGTCTGTCGTCACTTTGAAGAATTGCTTGCGTTGTAAAGTTTGATCGGTTGCCTTGCGCCACAGGATGTGGTAGTCCGTTCCGGGGACCGGGAGAACGGATTCCCCATTTGCCATCATGCTCAGGAGGTGCCCCTGGTTTCGGACTCACACTTTCGATTCGCAGCCACTGCAACCACGTTTCACATGGCACATTGTGAATACCTAATGCCTTTTCCCTAGACCAAAGTTGCCGTGGCCTTGATGACCTCGGGAGATGCAGGCAACCAGCCAGCGACGGCCTCTGGGCTCCAGGTGCGGCAATCTCCTTTTGCGGTATTGTTTGTGTACCTCGGTACATGCGCAGACAAGCCATCGAGTCTTTACAGTCAGTGCTCCATCAGTCTCCCTCACTCCCCGTGTTGCCAAGCTGCATGTCTGCGTTGTAGTCTTTGCCTGAACACCACATGATGTCGGGCCCAGCTCCCATGCCATAGCGGTCAGAGCCGCCGTAGAAGACGCTGCCTGAGTGGGCCAATTCCAGAAGAAGCTGCCACTTCGGTTTTCACAGGTGATCACTCTGTCTATCTCTGTCTGATAACCTGGCAAACCTCCGCATGCATGTCTCCCCGTGTCCAGGACAGACATGACAGGCAGTATCTACCTAGAAGCTGCACTACTTGCCTGAAAACTGGTATGAATGAAGCTGCTGAAGCTGCCGCAGAATGCCACCAAGGCACTGTTGTAGTCAGCCCAGTCGGCAAGCCAACCGTCCTTAAACCTAGGGGCCATATGCGACCACTGCCACTTGCTCATGCCACCCCGCAACTCACAGCTAAGTCAGGGACAGCTTCTGAAAGGCTGGGAAGGAATTCACCGGATGCGTAGTGTAGTATGGTATCTGAACCACGTAGGACGACCAGTCGGAGAGCAAGGGGTGACCAAACATCTGAAGATTCGGATGAAGGGCACGGCCGACAACTTTATTCCACATTGTATGAATGGCCGGCATCGAGCAATTCTCCTGGCCACGATGTCCGCAAACCTGGACGGGCAGCAACCCTTATCTGCACAAAGCGCCACGTCGTGTCCAAGAACTTGGATCCCGACAATTCGATCGGCCAGCCATGCGGCTGTGATCTCTTCAGTGAAGGGATAGTATCCATCAGCCTGTCAGGGAGCATGCGTTGGAGCAGCGAGCCGTACTCCCCTCCCCAATTGTAATGGACCTCTGGCCAAGAAATTCCAGTACAAAGGCCGTTGTTGTTCATGAGCATGGGAATGCCCGTGCCATTGTATCCCTCCACCACATCCTTAGCATCTGTGTTCTTGGTCTTCCTCAGAGATGTCAAGGCCCCTGAAACAAAGCTCAGCTTCTGGTGAAGCGAAGGCCTGCAGGCAAAGCATGCTGTGCCAGTCCACCATGTCCATGAGCCTCATAGAGGAACTAGGGGAGCATTCAGACGTGGTCGTGCTGTCTTCAACTCACCCAAAGCATCCTAAGTCCTAAGTCTTTAGGTTGCAGTTGGATCCGGATGGAATGTGTAGCGAGTCGCTTCTCCGTCAGCCTCGCGATCATGCCAGTTGTGTCCGTACGCCTCTCGACGCATGCTCACAAAACGGGCACACGACAAACCTGCAGCCCTATATACGTTCTCGCTACTCTTCTACAGATTGTAACATGATAAACCAGCTTGCCTCACCCAATGGTTCAGCACGTATGTCTGCACAAACATCACCTGAGCTGCTCGAGCCGGCTAGGTTAGAAATCAGACTTTTTTGAGATGCGGCTGCAGTGCACATGCCCTTATGCTTGTGGGAATTGTCCACGCCGGCCAGGAAACTCCAACATAGAAGAGGCCCGTTGACATCACTGACCACACTCCGTTCACTTTGTCGCCCGCCTGGCAAGCTCTGCCATCTTCAACTTCCACATCTTCCACCCCTTGCCGTGACCCGCCGGCCTCTGCCAGCAAGGCACCTGTCGACTCCTCGAAGTAGCGTGGGACCCAGCCCTTTGGCCCGCGGGTGAAGTTCCAGGACATGCCGGCTTTGGCCGGCGGTGGGATGTTTGCATAAGAGGAGAGTGTCAGGTTCACGCGCTCCAGCAAGTCCTGTGGGCGATCGAGTCAACTCAAAGAGCTGAAGGGCGACCGAAGTGACTAGAAGTGTCCGCCCTCATCTCCTGGTCCGATATCCAGCCCATGGAGTGTGCGATGCACTCCATGATGATGCCCATCCCAGTGGTGTCTGAAGAGCCCAGCTTTGCCTTGGCTGGCACAATCTCGAAACGCTCTGCCTGTTCTGCCAGCCTTGCCTTGCCAGTGTCGAGATCGATGTGATCCGTGTAGCCTTGGTGTTGGTAGACGAAAGCTCTCGGAAACCATCCCAAAGACCAAAAAGCTTGAACATTCGCTGAGCGACAGCCTGAATAATCGTTGCGGGATCTTCGCCAGACTTCGTAGTTCCCCCGCGCCAGGTTCTTGAAAGCATCGTCCTCTGTCTTGCACAGCGTCTGCATGCAGGGGCCAAGGTCGTCGGTCGTGTTCACCCGGAGAGGCACTTGGCCGGCAGGGCATGGCCCAGACGTGGCAGCACAGAGTCTCCAGCAATTGCCGCCGAAGAAAGACTTGTCTTTCCAGACCTTTGCACAGGCTGACAGCAGCTTTTCAAGGCAAATCTTCAGTGGCAGAGCATGCTTGCTTCATGCCCAACCTTATTCTGGATGACAATCGTCTGACAAACATGTCGTCCAACGGCGATGTACCCCTCGTTGCACTGGTAGCTACATTCATCTCCGAGCTTGCTGGCAACGCACTCGTTCCCAGGCTTTCGGTCTGAGAAGGGGATCTCCTGACCAGCCAAGCAGACCGAGACCGGCGGCGCCGGAGTTGTTGATGTTGTTGCAGGCTGCACAGTGGTGTTTGCCACGGGTTCTGTCGCTTGCGGCGTGGATGTCGTCGGCGGCAACGGCGAGGACGATGATTGCACAGCTGGCGGTGCTGGAAGGTCGGGTGGCAAGCTGGCAGCGACACCGGAGCTGTTCGAGACGTTGGGCACCTTCTCTTGTGAAGCGAAGCCCCGAGAGACTGAAACCCGAAACCCTTACAGCTGTTTCCACGGCTTCTCGCCTTCAGTACCCGTCGCTGAAGGGCATTGAGATGGCAGGCTCCCTCGCTGGGAGCCCCAAGGCAGTCATCGTCGCCTGAATCCAACATCACGTCAAGTTCATCGCAGCAACAAGCCCACCATGTCATGCTGCCCAATGCCATCCGTACCATTGCATGCTAGCAGCTCGCCAAGGCAGGTGAGAGTTGGTCCTGGCCGTTTCTCTGTTCGAAAATGCACACTTCATCGAATTTCGGCCCTCTGCCACGGCCGACAAAAAGCGAATGCACATAGCGCACTGGTGCCTCCTGCGTTCCCCCGAAGACGAGAGTCGCAAAGGCCGCCCAGGCCAGTCTCACAAGACCCATATTTTCGTGCCTTGCCTTGTCACCTGTCAAAAATTCAGGGCCGCGAAAGGAACCTCATGCTGAAAAAATGCACAGTGCCAGCGTGCCTTCGACTGCCCGCCAATCCTAATTGGTCAAACTCCGGCGCCACTCTCTTTGGAGGACCGCCAACGCTTTGAACGTAAGTAAGAGTCTGAGCCAGTGCCGCATGTTGAGACCATGCAGGCAACACCCACTCCCACCCCCTGCTCATCCCCACGAGATGACCAACGGCAACCGCCCATCCGTGGGCCCCAGATCGTAAAGGCTGCAAGGTTTCAGAAAGTAAGCTCATGCAATTCGTTCAAATCATGCTGGCGTTTAGAAGCAGTGAACACGGCTGAGAGGTGCGAGTGGTCTTTGCGATAGATTTCGGAGACAGGAAGACCAAACTAAACGAATGATCCGCTTCACTATGCTTCACTCACATGCTGCATCATGCCACACATCGTGAAGAGGCGGACGATTCGGGCTTCACTCCCCCACAACATGGCCAAGCCTTACCATTCCCCTTCAGGCAGGTATGTCTTTGCAAGGGGCTTGCTAGGCCTCCGAGCACGTCGAAGCTCGCCACCAGCAAACAGCCGGGCCGTGTAAGCGACCTGCACCGATGTCAGCACGTGCGCTCATCGTGCTGGTAGCATGCGCGACGGAGAGAGAGAGAGAGAGAGAGAGAGAGAGAGAGAGAGAGAGAGAGAGAGAGAGAGAGAGAGAGAGTGAGAGAGAGAGAGAGAGAGAGAGACAGAGGAGACAGAGGAGACAGAGGAGACAGAGGAGACAGAGGAGACAGAGGAGAGAGAGGAGAGAGAGCGCGAGAGAGCGAGAGAGAGCGAGAGAGAGCGAGAGAGAGCGAGAGAGAGCGAGAGAGAGCGAGAGAGAGCGAGAGAGGGCGAGAGAGCGAGAGAGCGAGAGAGCGAGAGAGCGAGAGAGCGAGAGAGCGAGAGAGCGAGAGGGAGACATGCCTTCGTTTTCTTTCTGTACACCCAAGCACGTCCACCTGTCTGAATACCCTCAAGCATCGCTACCCACCTAAGCTGCGGGCGCTCGCAGCTTGACGAGCTCGCAGCTAAAACACTTGGCTGGTGGCAATGCAGTGAAAGGCGAAGAGCCATGAAAATTGCATGCTGGCCTACGACCAGTACTGGCATAGCGGGGTCAAAAGCACAATGACGCGTCGTCCCCCGCCCAACCGTGCACTACAGTCAGAAGTTTCGGGAGACCTTTCTGGTCATGCAACTCTGCAGCGTGCGCTTAGGGCTTCAGACAGCAAGCTCGAGGCATTTCGCGAAACTCCTGAAAGCTACGAAAACCTGTTGATGAGAAGGAGAATTGGTATAGCGTAGGCTTCGCAGCCATCTTCCATAAAAGATCTTCTGCCAAAGATGCTTTGTCCTGTGTCCGTGGACTCCTGTCTCAGTACACCTCCACGTGGTAACCTGAACTAAATGCGTGCGCATGATGCACCCCTACCATGCAGATTGCACTTCCTTGCTGCATTGCACCGAACAGGTGGACGATGCTACACGCACAGCCCACAGCCGTCCCTTGAGCTGTTCTTTGTCGGGGAGCGCTTGGCTTTCTTCATCTTCTTCAAGAACTCCGCGTAGACCATGCCCTCTGCCTCAACCTTCTCCTGGGGCAACATGACAGCAACAGAAAACTCAAAAGTGCGAGGCGGCTTGCAAGCAGCTCCTGGAAGCACTCCGCGAAGCCGCTCTCCATACCCTTGAGGCCGCACATGTAGATGTGCGTTTTGGGATCCTGCGACTGGCTACAACTTGTGTGTGTGTGTCTGTGTGTCTGTGTCTGTGTCTGTGTCTGTGTGTGTCTGTCTGTCTGTCTGTCTGTGTGTGTGTGTGTCTGTGTGTGTGTGTGTGTGTGTCTGTGTCTGTGTCTGTGTGTGTCTGTCTGTGTGTGTGTGTGTGTGTGTGTGTCTGTGTGTGTGTGTGTGTGTGTGTCTGTCTCTGTGTGTGTCTGTGTGTCTGTGTGTGTGTGTCTGTGTGTGTGTGTGTGTCTGTGTGTGTGTGTGTTTGTGTCTGTGTTTCTGTTTGTGTCTGTGTGTGTCTGTGTGTGTCTGTGTGTGTCTGTGTGTGTGTGTGTGTCTGTGTGTGTCTGTGTGTGTATGTGTGTCTCTGTGTGTGTGTGTGTGAGTGTCTGTGTGTGTGTGTCTGTGTGGGTAGTGTGTGGGTGTGTCTGTGTGTGTGTGTGTGTGTGTGTCTGTGTGTGTCTGTGTGTGTCTGTGTGTGTCTGTGTGTGTCTGTGTGTGTCTGTGTGTGTGTGTGTCTGTGTGTGTGTGTGTGTGTCTGTGTGTCTGTGTGTGTCTGTGTGTGTGTGTGTGTCTGTGTGTGTGTGTGTGTCTGTGTGTCTGTCTCTGTGTGTGTCTGTGTCTCTGTGTGTGTGTGTCTGTGTGTGTGTGTATGTGTCTGTGTCTGTGTCTGTGTCTCTGTGTGTGTGTGTGTCTCTGTGTGTGTGTGTGTGTGTCTGTGTGCGTGTGTCCGTGTGTGTCTGTGTGTGTGTGTGTGTGTGTGTCTGTGTGTGTGTCTGTGTGTGTGTCTGTGGGTGTGTGCTGTGTGTGTCCTTGTGTGTCTTGTGTCTGTGTTTCTGTGTGTGTCTGTGTTGTGTGTCTGTGAGTGCTGTGTGTGTCTGTTGTGTGTGTTCTGTGAGTCTGTTTGGTGTCTGCTGTGTGTCTGTGTGTGTCTGTCTGTGTCTGTGTGTGTGTCTGTGTGTGTCTGTGTGTGTGTGTGTGTCTCTGTGTGTCCGTGTGTGTCCTGTGTGTGTCTATGTGTGTGTGTGTGTCTCTGTGTGTCTGTGTGTGTCCTGTGTGTGTCTGTGTGTGTCCTGTGTGTGTCTGTGTGTGTCTGTGTGTGTCTGTGTGTGTCTGTGTGTGTCGGTGTGTGTCGGTGTGTGTCGGGGTGTGTCGGTGTGTGTCGGTGTGTGTCTGTGTGTGTGTGTGTGTGTGTGTGTGTGTGTGTGTGTGTCTGTGTGTGTGTGTGTCTGTTGTGTATGTATGTATGTATGTATGTATGCTTGTCTGTCTGTCTGTCTGTCGGTCTGTCTGTCTGTCCGTCTGTGTCTGTCTCTGTCTCTGTGTCTGTGTCTGTGTCTGTGTGTGTATATATATAGTGTTATTTTCTGTATATATATACATATATATATATATATATATACATATATATATACATATATATGCTCACCCCCCCCGGTGACAGACCATGCCCTTGTGATAGTGTCTTCTCGTTCGGTGACTAGGCTGAGATATTGTATCTAAACACACCACACATGACGACAATCTGTAAAGCAAATCCTTTACAGTACATATACCAAGTATACTTTTAAGATGCCATGTACTGAGGACGCATGGACCAGACGCGCGACATGTGAGTTATGGTAGCATTGATATAGGATGAGTATGAGTATTAATATTGGTATTGGTATTAGTATCAGCAATAGTATTAGTGTTTACTGTAAGTATATATATATATATGTATATATCGACAGTAGTAAGTATACATTAATGTTAGTGCTCATCTGCGTTTTAGTCGTAGTGTTAGTGCCAGTGTCAATGCCAGTAATAGTACCACTGCTAATATTAATATCATTCTTCATGCTGGGTTTAATATCAGTTAATAATGGCAGAGGTGCTAGTATTGGTATCAAAGTAGAGTTAGTTTCGATGTGTTACTATTCTGATAGTTTCGTATATCAGCAGGTTAGTATATCAATACATTGATGTGTTCGAGAGGCAACATATTTGTATACTTGCATATTCGTAGATTTAATACTTTAGTACAACTGATGCATGAGTAACCTAATATATTGGTGTATTAATACATTAGTATATTAACATACCAGTATATTCGTACATTAGTGTATTAGTATACTAGTATATGCAATATACGTGTATTGTCTAAAGATTTATAAGTATATCAATATGTTGTCATATTAGTACATAAACCTGCCATGTCGGTATACTTGCATATTACAGTAGTCGTAAACTAGTATAGTAGCATACTAGTATAATAGCATACTGGTACAGTATATTCACACGTTAACAAGTAGTGTATTGTTACATTGGTATATGGGTATATGCTTGTCCTAAAACATCAGTACATGAATGCATTGATGCATATCGGCATTCTAAGATAATGGTATGTGTTCTGGTGTGCATTAGCATATGCACGTGTCTTTTGTAATGGTATTAGTCTTCACATCAATATGAATATGACTATTGGTATTCGTAGGAGTATTAACGTTAATATTCGTATTAGGATTATCCATAGTCGCACTAGCCTTAGTATAAGTGTTAATAGTGGTATTAATACTGGCATTATGTTGCATATTCAACAAGTTATCAATGTCAGCATTAGTATTGGTGACAGCATTACTGTTAACAGCATAAGAGTATACGCAGTAGTATCCGTAGGAGTATCAAGACTTATGTAAATCTTGGTGTTGGTATAAACAGTGTGATTGGTATCCGCCGAGGCCAAAGGCCTCTGGCGTCTTGATGGTTAATACTAACCAACCCTCTACCTAATCCTTCTTCCTGCAGCCCAAACGCAAACTTCCACCCGTTTTTAGCGACTGTTTTCGACCCCCTTGCCCGGCTTCCGTCCTTTTTTGCTGCCGAATTTGCCTCCCCTCCTCCTGCCCCCCCCCTCCCAGGCCCCTCCCTACCCCCCCCTTCCGCCCGCCCTTCCTGCCCCCCTCCGCCCCCTGCCCCCGCCCTGCCCCCCCCTCCCTCTCTCTTCTCCCCCTCCGGCCCGTCCTCCCCTCTGCCCTCCTCGCTCGTTTTCCTTTTTTGTTCCCCACCCTTCCGTCTTGTCCTGCCCTCGCGTGTTTTTTCGATTGCCTGCTCGTTTTCTTTCACCTTTTCTTCTCTTTCGGCCTGCCCCCGGCACCACTGTCTTTTCTTCTTATGTTTCGTTTGCGTGCTTCTTTCCTGCTTCCTCGTTGAAGCTCTCGTTTTGCTGTTTTGTTCC